AAGACGATATTGCAACAGATAAAGACACTGGGAGAGAGAAAGGTGAAGTGAAAAAAGGAAGGGATAGATATAATTCACCCACTTGCCCACTCTGCCCTCCTCCATGCTCACATGCCCCTGTCCTGCTGGTGTGTTTTGCCTGATAAGAACCAGCGACAGTCACACAAGCTGGAGCAGTACAGACAAGCACACATGTATGCACACAGCAAGGCCCCTCAAGCGGCCTTGGCCTGCAATCTGTGGGATGCCCTTCTTTGGAGTGTGTGTGTGTGTGTGTGAGTGTGTGTGTGTGTGTGTGTGTGTGTATACGTGTGTGTGTGTGCATGTTCTGCTCAGTATCTGAGTTCCAGCCAGGGCAAACAGTGTGTGCCAGAATGTCACGGTCCGGGGCCTTCACACCTCCGTCACAAATAACTCTGTCAGCCGTAGAGAGTGAGTCCGTGTCAAAGGGAGAGAGAGAAAGAAACAGCAAGCATGTGTTTCTGTGACTGTTTAACAATGTGTGGGTAGGCTGTATGCTATAAATGCTTGCACTTGGTTAAAGGTGTGTGAGAGAAAGACAGCACTTGAAAAAGTGTGTGTGTGTCGTTATGTTTTGTTCCCAGTACAGCCTATATGGAGCCTCTTCTATTAAATGGTGCTAGGGACAATGTGTCACGCTCTAACATTACTAGTGAGTAGCTAGCAACAGACAGGAGTGAGCGTGTCTTGTACCAGAACAATATATATGTATACGTGGTATATGTACTGTTGAGTGTCTTTAAAGGAACAGTTCAACATTTTGGGAAAGACTCATTTCCTCTTCCTTGCCAAGAGTTACATGAGGACATACTGTATATGCCACTATCATATTCCTACAGTCAATATGTAGCTAGAACCAGCAACAGGTTAGCTCAGGTTTGTTTTAAGGTATCAAAATCTGCCTACAAGTTCCTCTGAAGCTCACTAATTGACATGTTACAGTATTTCTATCCACTGGTTGTTGGTGCTGGTTGCTTAGCACCAACTTCAAACCAAGAAACAGTCCTGTATACAGCCTCCAAGCAGTGATTTGTCATTTTTACACTTTGTTTTTTGTACTGATTAAAGAAGATATAACATTAGTGAGCTTGAGATGCGCTGGTAGGCACACCTTTATTTTACCTTTGCAGAGCCAGGATAGCTGTTAGCCATACCTTTGCATTTTTGTGCAACAACAGGGAGGAGGGTGGCTTTACTTAACCCATTGTCCATGAGGGGGGACAGAAGGAAGAGGAACAGAAGGTGCTGAATTTATAAAAGAATGAGAAATTCATCACCGGAGCCAGACATGGAAGACACATCAAAAATAAATGTATAAGAGGATGGAGATGGAAAAGCTAATGTCACTGATTAGATGTACAAAACGGGATGCCAGTGAACTATAAAGTGCAAGACTATAATGGCTACATCCTGACAGAAATTGGATATATATGCAAACTACTAAACCACATCTGAAAGAAATTTAAGGAATGTTAATATCTTGTCTGTGATACCCAGCCTTCTTATATTTTTCTCAGTCTGGATCTACACACAAAACAAACAATACTGGGATTGCTCATAAAGTAAGGCATAAAGCAAAGAAAGAGACAGATGGAGGCGGAAACGGGGAAAAAGCAAAAGCCAAAGGAGAGAGGGTGGCAGAGGGGTGGATATTCACTGTGCTGCATCCACAAATCTCAATCAAGTTAACCACCGCCTTGATTGCTCAAGTGAGACTGAGCCTCGCTTTGCAGCAAAACAAACACCTAAGTATGTCTTAACATAGCTGAGCCCAACCAGCCTGAACCTTGCCTGGCACTCATCAAGGCTTTGGCTCAGAACAGCATGTTCTCTCCAGGGGTTTGGAAGGGGAAAGAAGAAGAGTGGGAGGAGGAGGAGCAGAAAGAAGTGAGAAAAGCAGAGAAAGAAATGGCAGTCAAGTTCCATAAATAAGGAAATGCGAAAAAGGACGAAAGGGGAAAGTTTTATGATACGGTAAAAGGAATAATCCAGCAAGGAGAGTTTTCTTCTTCCTCCTTTCGTTCTAACTTTCCCCTCTCTCCATCATTTTTGTTTGTATAATAAAGCAAGTCTTACTCTTCTCCTGCAATTTTCCGCACGGTTGCTCTTTAATTCGAGAATTTGTTTGTTGTGCCATTGGAGGCATTGTTGATTCATGCATGCACATTTGATCTGCAAATGTCACTCATTATATTTATTTCCTCCCCACTTCTTCTACCTGTTGCCTGCCCTCTCTTGACACAGTCTGTTCACAAAAACAAACACACACTTTAATTTCTCAACTGGCTTGGTTAATGCTTTTTTTTTATGGATCTTCTAACTTTTTCACTTCTCTATTTATTTGCACACAAAAAAAAAACGTATTCCATACAATATAATTTGGTCAAACAGATTACACATGGATGAGATAGTTCTGGTTGTGTGAGGAGGAGAACATAAAATTGTGTGTGTGTGTGTGTGTGTGTGTGGGTCTAAATTGTACCACAACGATTCTCTTGGTTGCCGTGGTAACATAAGATTCAGAGACTGCTGGGGAGCAAAAAATTTGAAAAAGAAAGAAGAAGAAAGAAATGAAGGACAGAGAGGAATAAATGTTTGATGTTCAACTGTCAAATGTTTATTTTATTATATTCACAAGAGCTTTTGCATTTCAGGGAGAATGACATAAGGAGCAGTCACCTCTCAACCCCGTGTGAAAACTTCTGTCTGGTCTTTGATCACTGTCTGAAAATTAACCTTATCCAGTCCTGTCTACTCTGTTCACCAGGAGAGGGAGTGTGACTCCTGCTATCAGTGGAGCTGATTTTGCTTGTTAAACACTGCTATTTGTATTCAGGATTAACCAATAACATGTAAAAACAGGATCATCTGAGGTCTAAATTAAGGGTGTGAGCATATGTGAACACACATACACATCCCTAATGGTACTGCAAACCATTGTCAGTACACTAGCACATAAGGAGGCAAAACCACAAGGTGTTAATGAAGAGAAGCACATTTCAGTCCTCTTTCTTTCTTTAACAACATATAATCCACAAACCAAGGAACGGGAGATAAAGATAAAGAACGACAAGCGAACGATGGGGGGGAATTAGCATCAAAGTGGTGAGGAATGAGGAAGAGGGAGAGAGATGGGCCCTGGAGAAGAGAAGGATAAGTCTAGCCTACAGGAAGAGCTGCACTTGTTGGGGCACTGAGAGCGCAACTAATGGATATGGCAGCTAGGAGAAGGATGATGAATGACTCTGTACTATATGAGTATGTGTGTGTGTGTCATTGTCAAAATGTTTACTCTTTAGTGCATGAAAGACACAAAGTATAGTACAGTAGTTGTACTCTATGGTGAGTGTGTGTGTGAAGCATGTGGTCGTGGTTTCTCGGGCAGATGAGCTGACAAGAGAGGGCTCTCTGTCCACATGCCACTGTCAGCTGGTCCTGCTGCCTCTTGTGCTCCTTCACTCTCTTCTTCTTTCTCTCCATCCTTTTTTACCCTTTCATTTGCTAAACTCTTTTTTCCTATCCTATCTGAACAAAGCTTCTACTTAAAAAAACAGTGAACCAATAGCAGGTGACTGCTCCTTTACATAGATGCTGATTAGATGTGTTAATAATGTTCTTTTAATGTTTACATTACTCAAAATAGCAAAACAAAAAAATGTGAACATACATGTTACACCTCATAGTGTCCTTGTCTCCTACTATTCACCAATATTACTACTCAGCTTATATGTTTGCTTGCACTCTGCATCCTGCTTTCCTCTAGTTTTCCTTTCATCACTACATGCCTTTCCTGTTTATCCCTCCATTGCCCCTCTGGCCTATCTCAGCTCAGAGTGTGCTAGCCAGCGCTCTCCCCATGTCTTGCAGATGGGCACACTAATCCACTAACGTTAGTTCTGTGAGGCGTGAAGGCTGGGCCCATGTGTTGTCTGAGATGAGCATGGAGGCTGCGGTTCAGGATGCGAGTGTTTGGGATTCTGCACAGCTCCAGTTGAGAAGAGAGATAAAGAGGAAAGTAATTGGATAAAGGTTGGCCAATTAATAAAGGCCACAGATTAAGGTCAGCCAACAAGGGGGGGTTTCAATCTGAATAGAGATAAGACTGAAAGTCAGACCACAAACATAAGGAGATAAGGCGCAATTGTGGTAGTGTGTGTGCGTAGGTACATTTGTGTGTGAGAGGCACCTATCAGATAAAGCGCAGGTATGACTGTCAGTCACTTGGGAGTGCAGTGGATTTACATCCATAAGTCCACCGAGAAGATGGAGATTTTCTGTGCCCGTTTCACATGCAGGACTGTTCTTGGTGTGTGTATGAGAACGAGAAAGAAAAAAAAAAACCATGCTGAAAACATAACATAGCCGTGCGTCCATCACTAATATCGTGTACACTCCAGCAGTTGACAAACACTTATTATGCTTTGTGTGTCGCCCACTGTAGCTGCCATTCGGCAAGACTGATATTAGCTTTTATGCTAATGCAGCATTTAACTATGTAAGAACAAGGCAGTATTTCCATAAACAGTCATTCATCCCAGCCTGCTTATGGTCTTATGGAGCACGACAGAATTATTGCTGCATAGTACACAAGCTGTTGTCACAGTGCCAAGAGCCGCAATCACACATACAAACAGCAAACACACACAGCAGGGCGATGTGAGAGAACCTGAGGCTAAAGTCACAGAAGGCATGAGGGTAAAGGCATGCGCACGCATGAGCGTGCGTGTAGCTGAATACAATTAGTGCCTATGTTGGTATAATTTCTGTTTCACTGTGGGACAAAATAAGCAATAAGTATATGTGAAAAATGGAAGTTACATCATAAGGAACAATGACTGATTTGAATCCAGAGCTGCATTTAGACTCATCCCACATTAACCGTACGTCAGGCGATTACACATAAAACTGCAGTGGGGCTATAAAAATGTCTGTTCTTCTAAGTAACAGCAACATGTACAAGTCTTCAGTGTGAATCTTACCTCAGAGTTGTTGACACGTCCCTCCTGGAAAGAGCAGTCATTGGCGTTCTGCGTGCACATGTGGCGGTATTTGCACCAGTGGCACGGGAAGGAACCATTTACACAGGAAAGGCAGCTGGAACAAAGTGAGTTGAGAGGAGATAGTCAGGGAGTTAGGAAAGCCACCTGCTTTCTGACATAAGTCTAAATTATTTATTATTGCTTCAGTTGACACATTTGGGTTGAGGGGTGGGGTCATTTGGTGAAATTGGCATGTGATAAAAAAGAATGACCTGGCCAGTAATATCTCATACTTTGTATGTGAAACAAATGAATAATTAACAGAGGTCTGCATTTAATTTTATCAAGCCATGTCATGATTCTAAGCAGGTGCACTGAAATAAGGAATACAGCTGTGGTGTGCAAGTATTCAAAGCCAGTTTGGAGGCACAAAGAGTGCATATTCTTTGGGGATGTTTGAGGGTGTACGGTGTGAAATTTGATAGGGTGGCCATCTTGCCTTTCTCTTGATTTTCTTTGTCTACTTTGTCACCACCTTTTTACAGTCAAACCAGGTGTTTACAATAAAAAGAATGTACAGGATTAAAAAAAGCAAGGTGCTGGAAAAGAGTGAAATATGGACAGACAGGGTCAGGGCATGTCAATGCATGATTGGTGAAGTATTAAGGAAAGATAGTAGAGTAACAGTGATATGACACATGATAAGGTAAGCACCTAACCCGCTGCCATCTTTGCTTTTTAAAATCTTTTCTCTTTTTTAATTACTCTCTCTTTTTCCCCACCTTGGCCGGGATCCATTTCTTTCCTCTCACTTTTTCCCACATCTATGAACTGTCTGAATCTTTGTCCCTCTCACTTTCCTCATTCATCACTCCCCTCTCTGTTGTAACCGTCCATCGCACACTGCTTTTACACGTTCAGTCAGCTCTCTTACAATCGACCTACTCTCTGCATATATTTCCCCTCTTTCTATACCTCTACTGTATCACTCTCTCCATTCTTTCAGCCCCTGAGCCTCCTGTTCTGTTGTCATTCCATCTCTGCCTCTCTCACTCTATCCATCCCTTTCATTCGCTGCCATCTCATTTTAACAAGCTTGCGCCCTCTTCTTTGTCTAAAGCTCTCTTTCATCCTTGGGGCCAAGAGTGCTCCACCATTTTAAATTCACCTGCTTTAGCTGAGGTGAGGTGTAGATAGATGGGCTGAAAGAGAAAGATGGGAGAAAATTTTGGGAAAGAGAGAGAGATCAAAAGCAGCCATCGTGGGAGACGGGGGTGAAGTCTCATGGGAGAAGAAGGAAACAATAGGTTGGGAGTTAGGAAGTACGTCTGAGTGCATGTGAGTGTGACAGTATGTGTGTGTGTGAATTCACATCTAAGAGCACCCATGGAGGGGAGCCAGACAGGTTCGGTTTATCAACACAGCGTCATGTTACAGGTGTTTTCTCAGCCCTCGAGATATGCTATGCTAATTGGTGTCTCATTTATGTGGAACATTATCTAATGTAGCCATTATGAGTTTATAAATAAAACAGCTTCATTTTAATACAATGCTTACTAAAGCCATCTGTCTTCTACACTTAGGTTCAAAATTTCTTCTCTGTTTAGCTATTATGGGGTGTGTGAGCATATGGTTTATTGGAGAAATAATAAAATATTACATTTAATGCTTTTAATACAGTCAAAATAAGCAGATCAGAAACAAAAAAAAGACTGGATAGAGGTGCTCACCATGCAGGCTGATTTGTATTCAAACACATCTGCCGGGTGCAAACTCATGTGTTCCAACAATCTAAAAGGCCAGCTACCTTTCCTCTCATCTGCAAGAAAACTGAAGGCTTTAACTCCTCAGCTCTGAGATGGAGCCTGTATATGAATCCATCAAACCCTGATGTGGGTTCATTTGGATCAATTAGGGCTGCTCGTTTGTTAGGTGCGCACTTTAAGCGATCGTTTCCAGCCCAGACCCCTCCTTGTGAGCGAGATCAGAGGCTGGAGCTTAATTCAATCCCACTGCCGCTTTAATTGACCAATTTAGCATTGTGCTGAGAGAAGCTGTCCATTTAGAATGAGGGATATGCGGCTAAGGAAATAACAGGCCTCTTAATACTACACCAGAGCAAATAGGAGATTTGTCAATGTTGCCAACAAATGGAGGAAAACAGATTAGGCTATGCTAGGGTAGGTTAGCACAAGGTGCACAGACTAACAGTAGGCCTGGGGGTTTTTAGCTCACTGTTTTGTCCCAAGTGAGTTGGTAAGAAGCAAAAAGCATTGTCAGTAGTGAACAAAAGAGCAGATGACAATACTGATGCAAGACAAATGAACAGGACGCACAGTGCGCAGCTCTTGTTAGTTTGGCAACAGTCAATAATTTGAATGTCAAAGAGACTTTTTTTTGGTTGGGAGCCCACTAATGGATCAGTCTATCCATCCATTTTCCTCCGCTTATCCGGAGCCGGGTCACGGGGGCAGCAGTCTAAGCAAAGATGCCCAGACTTCCCTCTCTCCAAACACTTCCTCCAGCTCCTCCGGGGGAATGCTGAGGCGTTCCCAGGCCAGCCGAGAGACATAGTCCCTCCAGCGTGTCCTGGGTCTTCCCCGGGGCCTCCTCCCGGTGGGACATGCCTGGAACACCTTCCTAGGAAGGCGCCCAGGAGGCATCCGAAACAGATGCCCGAGCCACCTCAGCTGGCTCCTCTCGATGTGGAGGAGCAGCGGTTCTACTCTGAGCTCCTCCCGGGTGACCGAGCTCCTCACCCTATCTCTAAGGGTGCGCCCGGCCGCCCTGCGGAGAAAGCTCATTTCGGCCGCCTGTATCCGGGATCTTGCCCTTTCGGTCATGACCCAAAGCTCATGACCATAGGTGAGAGTCGGAACGTAGATTGACCACTAAATTGAGAGCTTCGCCTTACAGCTCAGCTCCTTCTTCACCACAACGGACCGGTACATCGACCGCATTACTGCAGAAGCGACACCGATCTGCCTGTCAATCTCCCGTTCCATCCTTCCCTCACTCGTGAACAAGACCCCACTGATAATGGATCAGTGCTCATCAAAATACAGTACAACACTAACTTAAAACAGCAGGTCACCAGAACCATGCAGCGATCAGTTAGCGACTCACATCCAAACACCCGTCAACACATCTGTCGCTAAGCCCAGATAATAACCATTTCTATCTTGACTTTTATCTTTTATTCATGTCAAATCAACCTTGTTAGTGTAGCATTGACATAATGAGCAAAATATCAGTAGGTAACCACTGTCAACTTTCTATGACTTTAATGATAACGCCCTTTAAAATAGAAGGCAGTGCCATAATGTATGCCACCCAAAGCCATCAGTAGGCCCTGTCTGACAACCCCCTACTGCTTGCTCTTTGGTTCCTTGAAGTAACCAGGGCCCCCTGTCACGAGCTGCCTTAGGATCTCAAAACCCCTCTCCTAGCCTGGGCGCAAGCCCTTTTCAGGAAAAGCCCACCCAGGGCCATTTGGGGAGATTGAATTATTCTTCTTCTCTTGTCCAGGGGTGGGCTCCTTTCTTCAGACCCCCTAGTATCTCTTTACTGCACCTTCCTGTCACTCGCCATTGCCCATAGCCACTCAGAAGCTTTGAGCGGCTGCAGGCACGCTCCCCGTATGGCCACGCTCATAATGCTAATTTAATCCGTTCATATTCAGATGCTAATCGAGCTGCACTACTTTTAGAGCGGTAGTGTTTTTTCAGGACCTCCACACAATAGACTGTGATTTCCTCCTCTCTCTTCTCCTCGGTCAGTTCGGGATGCTAAGTACAATCCGCTCTCCTAGTGAGCTACGTTTGACACTCCTGCACTTGGCAAAATGAGTGATTTATTGGCTGCTATTCATTTCAAAGGAGTGGAGGTGAATAATTTAAAGGTCCTCTAGGACAGTATATCCTATCATTACTGGACCCTTTTAAAATTTCAGGGGTAGGGGCTTCAATAAAACAACTGGGGAGCAGTAATCATGCGCATAATTTTATTAATGCATGTCTGTGCAGTTTACAGAAAAACAGTGCAATTTGAATGTGTCTACCAGGGCCAGAAACTGCAGCATAATATGGAAAACAAAAAGCTTAAAATTGAAAATGCATTTTGCAAAACAAAAGCTTAAATTTAATTGTATAATTCTTCCAGATATTTTCAACTGCACTTTTCTTAGCTTTTCCTTGCATCTGCAGCATTTTAGATTATTCTCCATCATCAAGCTATACTCCCTCTCTTTCTATGACATTCAGTGCACTTTTTTCTCCCAATTACTCTTAAGAGCACCCTCAATCAGACAACAAATGACCCAGTCACTGCCCAAGCCACATTAACCAGCGCAAGAAAAGGCGCTTCATACTGTACGGCCCTATATAGACATTTAAACCCAAAATTCACTGCCAGACTATTCTCCATATCTTTAATAAATGGGGGGCTGTGGAATGAGAAGAGGCGTATGGAAATATTTAATTATGGAGCAATCATGGCCGTGGGTGATTTTCTATTTCAATCTCGGCAACCCTTAAACTGAAACAGTGGGAATTCTAATTAGATTAATACCACTATGCAAATTTATGGCATTTTTGAAAAGGCAAGGGCCACAACGTAATCACTTGAGTAAATAAGCAGGAGGGGTGTGTGTTTTTTGGGACGGGGGGTTGGGCGTCAGTGTGTGAGAGTAAACAATTAAGAAACATGATGCGGCAATTGCAGTGTCTTGGGATTGAATTAAGTTTCTGGCTTCCAAAAGGCAGTGTTAGGATAACCTGTATGCAGGTTACCTGTCCATACTGTAGGAAATGCCGGAGCACGGGATGAGACCTCAAAAGACAAGACGTGCATGAATTCATTGACAGATAATGAACATTATTTCTGCTGAGAAATTTGTTTCTGCATGCTGTGAGAATGTCTGCATCCTTCAGCATGTAAAATCCTGCACTAGGCCCATTAGAGGAAAACTTAGCTCTGTAAAGAATGACCAAGCATTCAGGAAACAGGGCCTTGCATGTGGCTGTTTGGGCCTGAAAGTCATTACACCAACGACATTACCAGTCTGATCTCATCAGACGCCACGCACTGACGCCTGGGGGGCACAGCGGGTATGTGGGCCGCAGTTCCAGCTCCAAATGGGATTCTTATCTCAGCATCTCTCTTCGCCATCAGTCGCCGCCAAAGATGCAACGTGCCATATCAGTAACTTCATTAAAAGTGTCCATTACATCACTCTGCAGCTGTACTGAATCAGTTCTAGCAACAGATTTAATCAGAGTTCTTTTGGGTAATATCTTCAACTGGGCAATTCTTTTGTCTGCCTCACTTCTCATACATTTCTTACTCTTGGTTTGTATAATCCATTAGGAGTTTACGGTATGTGATGCCTTTTCTTGAACTGGGTGCTTGCTATTTTAACATGAAGCAATTGGGCATGACATAAGACATACCCTAGGACAGCACAAGGTACTGGGAGTTTAAGCAAATATCAAGAGTCCTTACAGGAAATGAATTAACCGTGAAGCCACCACACCCTTAACCAGCTGAGCTAATCATTGTTGTGGCAGGGGATTTGTGTATGGGAACAAGGAGACAGGGTGAGCCAGGTTAAAGGTCACAGTAACGGATTAGGTGTCCAAGACACTGAAGGCTTCAATGAGCACTGAGTGACAGAGTAGAGAGAGGCGTGGCTGTGCTTGTCTGTGTGTGTGTGGTGTGTGTTTGTCGACAATCCTCGAAGGAGGCTCATCTAACATCCAGAGGGAAGCCAGGATGGAGCCCTGCAGCACCCCAGGGGCTTCCAAGCCATCTGCTGCCCCGAGGCTAATACCCCAGCAGACGTTTCAGCCTACCCTAGATCAACCATGGATGGACAGGAGGGAGGGTATCATATGGGGCGGGGTGGAGGAGCTGGAGGCTTCTTTTACCCCGACAGGGTGCATCGGGCTTGTAGTCGGACTGACCTAGGGGTGTGGTGCATTGGTTGGTGGAGATTTTGGGCAGAAGGTGGATTATGAGCGGCAGAGGGCAGTGATTGGGCAGAGAGCTGAGGGCATCTGGAGTGTGAAGGAGACTTGATTTATCATATTAAAGAATTAGAGTGTTTGCCTTTGTCATTCTTGTGTAAATAAGCATCAGACTGAGTATCTGAGTGCTCAAAAAAGCCAAAACTATTTGTTTGACCAAGTGGCCAAGAGGCATAAATGAGATTAGAGTCTGTGACTGGCAGGCATTATAGTAGTCTATCACATAATGAATTAATCATCGCAGTATCGTTAGTGTGTCATGGGTTATTATGATAAGACTAGAATTACAATCTCATATCCCAATCGTTCCTCATATACAGTATGGCACGTTTGATTTTTCACTCCTGTGATAACTCAAGCCTCCCGTGGAGGTTGGAGCAGGGTGAGGTATCTGTGTGTCCAACTGTACCATGCATGTACAGTAACATGTGACAGCCCATGGTGATATGGGACAGAGAGACCATATCTTAAAAGAACAAGACTAAAAGGTTCAATTCAGCTTACGATTGGTGGACGCTGCAGTTGTAGAAGACAAAGTCGACACTGGCAAACTTCTTGCCTGTCTCCTTGGACTTGAGATAAAGCTTCACCACACGCTTGTCTCCTGCGTAACAGACACAAGAAATTTCACTTCAGTTTAAAAATCATGACCGCTAACTTTTTACCATATTAAAACAATTCGTTCATCAACACATCATGCTTTAAAGTTGACTTCCACTTGTGTGACCTCAGTAGATGGCACACACATAAAGAAACAGTGCAGCTCAACAGCACACCGCTCATGTCACGCCCAGAGCAGGGTGGCATTAAAAATAGCAGCACTAATCAGTGTTTGGGTGCCAGAGCTGATGAGAACTCATAATGGGGAATAATGGGCTCAGTTGAAGAACTACTGAGATGTCGCTCTGAGGAAACAAAGCACACTGACATGTTTTCAATGCTTTGAATACACACACCAAATAAGTTTTATCATTATAGTGCTGTGACAGATTTGTGCATGAAACAGGTGTATAATCTTTTAAAAAAAAAGGTATTTTGAAAATATATATATATATATATGTATATATAATAAACCACACTGAAGTTGACGCTTTGAAAAGAAGTTAGGAGCATAACCAGTGTTGTTTAGCTAGAAAACAATAAGTGAAAATGAAACTGACACCAGTGCATAGCGTATGATAATGGGATTTCAAAAACAGTTCTGTTGTCAGTAGATAAATGTAGACTTGTTTGTGGCTTTGAAAGGGAACGGACGAGCTTTACTGGTGTGGACAAGGTATTCTGAATATAAACACACTGAGCAAATCATCTGGTTAGATTAAGATTGTTACTTCAATGCACAATTATAGACATAAGAGCATTAGACTCTAATTGAAATGTAAAAAAAGATCAGCCCATGTTGCTGAATATACAGCACACACATGCTACAGATAGAGGCAAAAAGACAAAATATGATGAGAGAAAGTGACTTGGAAAAATTTAAAACAGGAAGTGTCAATGGAAAAAGGAGCATAAACGTAAAGAGACTTCTTCACTAAATACCTCGTGCCACCAAAACTCTGCATACTCCTACCCTGCCTGTCCAGTGCTACCACCCACTGACCTCACTAGCACAATGACTTCATCAACCAGCACCCTTCCTGTCCTGACCTTTGTTCCTTGTGATTGGAATGACGTCCCGAACGGAGGGAGACAGACAGAAGATGTTTCCGCCCTGGATCCGTCCCTCCGTCTCCACAAAGTCCTCGAAGGAGCAGTTGACCCCCGCTGACAGATCGGGCACGTTATGAGCCTGGAGGACCAGCTAGAGAGGGAGACAGCGAGACAATCATTAGACGATCAATGGAAGCACATGGTGTACATGGTTTGTTATAAGATATGACATGAGGGTTAATGGGTGTAGGAGCGAGGAGTAGTGAAGTGTGGGGTATGTGTATGTGTGAACGTAGCAGGAATAAAAGAGGGTGAGCACTTGTGTGTGCATCACTCATTGCAGCAGCTATTACCCCAAGGTTCAGGTATGCATGTTAATGTGCAGAAATAATGTATGGCAAACTGTAATCAGTCAAACCTAGGTGGTTACACTGAGGGGCTGCTGACAAAATGAGAGCTCACACACACACACACACACACACACACACACACACACTTACAGATCTGCACAATATTAATGTACATCAGCTAAAGCTACCCTACTGTAGTTACCCGTTTCCTGTAATGCGTTTCTCTATTGTTGTGCCCGTTTGCTAATGTGGATGTTTTAAACACTGAAAATAACTGTAGAAAATGTATTTGTGGTGTCAGAGCAATGAAATTCAAACTGTAATTTGGCTTTCAAAAGCAATGACACCACTAACAATTCATAGTCTTCCTAATGTGATAAGTAAAACAATGTTTTCAGCATTGTAGGAGAATGAGGAAGAATTTCAGAAAAATTATTTCTGAAGTATTTCATTCAGACATAATACAACAGTAGATGTGTAAAAGAAAATGATATGGTCAAAAGGCAGTGCAGTAGTTGTTTGTTCACGCTCAGATCTTGGAGCAGGTAGAAATGAATCACAGCACTACTGTTAACCTGGCCACATACACTTTCAGACAAAAGCTAACTTCATTAAATGAGTCTCAACCCTTTACCCATAAATAACAAGGCTTTCATACCCAAAGTAATATCCCTTCCTAGATAATGGGTGATGAAACAGTGTTCCTAATTATTACAAAAAAAAAATTACCGCTGCACCAACAGATATGATACATTGATGACTAATTTTTGAATAAATGCGCCCGTTCTGCATTTGGGTCAGCCCTCTGCACAACCACACTATTAGGCTACAGAAAATGTGTTATGGATGTGACATGTGTCAGGAGAAAACAAGGTCCAAATCGCCAGCCTTAGCACTAACAGCCACACTTTCCGACACGCCTCTTGTGCTGACATTAAAGCTACAGTATGCAACTTTTTTCAAGCATTTTTGTTGTAGAAATCTGCTCCTAAACGTGTCTTAATGTGAAGAGGTGCTGTCGAAGCCTCCTGTGACCCAGACTCATTGAACAGCACTGGCCACAGTGCAGACAGATTAGCTTCTAAAAGGTTTTGAGTGGGATTGACCTCGCTAACAAATCAGAGATTTTCAATTATTTGTGTTTGATCAGTAAGTTTTTTGGAGCATAGCAAATCATAGTAGAGCATAGTGGAGCAGGGAGAGGGAGCGCTGGGTGGAGCAGAGTGGACTGACTTGGAGTTTCATGCTACCTTAAGTTACATACTGTAGCATTAATTCAAACCCCAGCAGCTGTCTCTCTTGTTGGCCTTTTCAGTCATTACTTGATATGTTAAAAACTCAAAAAGAAGCAGTGAGACATGCCAGGGATGCACAGGGAAGTGGAACAGCAGCTACACACTGTCACCACCAATACTGACATAGCCTAGCTGAACAGCAGAGCTCTGCATTGGGCTAATAAGCATAAATGTTATACGATGCTGACTGGGGAGAGGATCGAATTATTGGTACAAAAATAAATTTAACAAACCTTTGGATTTATGTAGGATTCATTCCTAAATTGTTTATAACCCTTGAAAATCAAATTAAAAGGTATCCTGTGTGGTTTTCTTTTAAACAGTTTTTACTTTCAGTGTGCATCTTTGAGACCTAACACCCTCAATCAATTTTCTTCCTCATTTTAATGGTATACATTCATCAATATCTCTCAATGTTGATCAATGCGAAAAAGAGTGATAATATTTTTAGCTGTATCACCCAACCCTCGTAACTGCCACGATTGTGACCACAGGTACATACCTGGACTTCAGACATGGTGACCGATATATTTCTTGGCTGGACAGTGAGCTCCACACACTGCCGCTGGTCAGAGGTGAACCTCTGGGGCTCGCCTGCTCGTTCACAACTGTCCTTACGTGAACAGCTGTGGGAGATGTGGCAAAAGAAGACAAAGAGAAAGAAAGAAAGAGACAGGAAGACAAGTATGGGAATGATAAGAAGATGGGTGAAAAGGAGTAAAGAACAGAAGAGTAAGACAAGAAATGTGAGGAGGAGAGAGAGGATATGAGCAACCGTTAAGCTAATATGACATATCTTATTAAGATGACAAACATGCACAGTCATCACAGTCACACAGAAATGGGAGCAATAATAGAAGACAAATAGGCTAATAGCTTCCTCCAGCCATTACTGTAGGCCTTTACATCATTACCTTATTGGTCCTGACATTTGTGCAAGAACCACTAAGCTATATGAACATGCAGCCACCCTCATTTCTTCATTTTACAGCCCCACCCAATTCTAACTTCTTGGGAGATATACAAGCAATCATTAAAGTTTCCCTGAACAGTAAAAATGATACAATTCCTACCAGCCACACATCAATGAGGTCAGCAATTTTCCTCCACTTATTATGAGCCAACTGATTGTGTTAAAAATCAGCAGGCAGCCCCATATCGTAGCAGTTTTACCATTAGCTATTCATGATGCATTAGCTTTCACTTCACCTTGGCGCTAACAACAACTGGTCCTGGTGGTGAGAGGAAAGTGCTGATGAAGCGCTCTGAAAGGCCTTAACAATAAGAGGGAGGCAGAAAAAAAACGCTAACTCCCTCCTCCACGCAGTGCCCCCCATTCCCTCTTTTAGTTAGCCTTAACTTACACTCAGCAAAAAAAAAAGCTGTCGCCAACCGCTCCCCTGAGAGTCACTGGCACACTCACACACACAGAGTACATGCATGAGCAGAGCTACTCACAAGGTATGTACACATTTTCTCATTATGGACCTCTTTTCTTTTGATTGCTCCTCCACTGTGTGTGTGTGTGTGTGTGTGTGTTTGTGTGTGTGTGTGTGTGTGAGAGAATTCATGTGAATGACGTGGTAATTTGCCTAGAAAACGCCGGTGTGTGTGTGCGTATACTCCTTTCAGTTCCACTGTTGATGGAAACTACCATGACTCTTAATAAGTTGTGGCTAAAAGCACCAGAGGGCTGAAATGAGGCTTATAAATAATTTGCCTATTAATACTTGCCCATTTTGTCTGCAAGGATTTGGCAACACTATCAGGTAGGAAATGAGAGAGCTGCGTTCAAGGCACAAGGTCAGAATGTGCCCAAACGCAGGGTTATCAGTGGTTCAGGTCCATCAGGATTGTGAGCGTTAATTTAGAATATGTGTGTATGTTTGTCAGCTGAAATGGAGAAACGCAGCTCATGTGTGTGTGGGTGGGTGGGTGTGTGTGTGCGCGTGCCTTGAGGAAAGATGGGCTGGTGATACGTTTTGCAAGTTTAATTAATGTACCAGGAGATGGCATCATGCCAACATGCTTGAGGTGTTCCAAGTGTGGTTTAACATCCTGTCACCTTTCAATAACATGTAACTGTTCCCACACTCTGCTGCGCACACACACACGTGCGCCCTCGAGTCAAAGGGAGAAAATGGAGAGATCACATATAGAAACAGTGTTATATGACTACATTGAGAGTGATAAGACTTATTTTTTAAACATAACTACAAATCTCCTCTCTCACTGCTACAACTCTAACCATAGAGACAAAGCAAACATAAAACCTAGTCCAAACCAAACACTAAAGCCAGAGGTGACTAATCCTAAAAAGTGAAAGCATTCCAATTATTACAAATATTAAACCACATTCACCACTTGCACATGAAGACAAAATCAAACTAAATACCAGTAAGATAAATGTGTGTTGATTATTTTCACTGAGCAACTGTTCAGGTTTCAGGTGAGTGTTTACATGTAGTAAAACATATTAGTTTCATCTACGTGAGTAAAACGTTATGAGGAAAAGAGAAAAGAGTTAACTATAACTGACAGAGCAGTTCATTTGCCTATGGCTCACATGACGGCATGTCAACAATCATAGTTCAATTCAATGTCAGGGAACAGAGACAAACACTCCTTTGGTTTTTAAGGGTTTTAGAAAGTTTTCCAGTGCACTTGAATTTTAGCAGATAGTAGTTGAGAAACTGGAGTACTGCTAAAACTCAGCGACTTAAGTCTTTCCAAGATATAATTCAATCTGCAACTAATGTTACATGTGGAAAAATGCAACAAACCTAACCCCTACATTTAAAATAATGGAAAATGTATAGAATGTGCAATTATTACTAATTCGGTGTCAGTAGGTGTGATCATGGATAAAAACGTCTGTTCAAGCCCAGATCTTCAGTTGATAACTTAAAAATAACCACTGTAGAGCGACTGGTGTCTCCTGATCTCAACTATTCAGGTGGGTGCTTCCACACACCTAAACACTTCTCTCACAATTATCTACGATGAGCTGCATGTGAAGGGTGCCAGGGTGGAGTGTGCTAATGTGTGCATGAGAGTGTGTGGCACTTACACATTGTGGAGGACACACCACCCACAGTGAGGGTCTCTGGAGCCCAAACACTCCCCACAAGTGGTGTACTGCTCACAGCTCTCCACTGGAACTCTCACCACCTGAAGACAGAGACGGACAGAGACGGAGAAGGGAGGTGAAGAAGAAACCATCAGTAGTCTTGTTGTAATCAAGCTCATAAAATGAGGAGTATATTCAGCTGGATGGAAATGAGCGTTTAACAGCTTTTCAGACCGAGTCAATTTTAATATTTGTGCTCAGCAAACAGACCGCGTGTTTGTGTCTGAGTATGTTTATGAAAGAGAGAGAGACAGAGACAGCTCATCTGTGAGAAGTGTGTGTGTTGTTGTGCATGTGTTTTCTGGTGAGCGATTCTGGTCCAGCGGTGTGTGACAGCCTCCAGTCAAGCATGGATTGGAAAGGCCTTGCAGTGCATGCTGGGACATCTGGCAGGTGGCCGCGGCAACAGTGCTGTGATTGACAGGTGACCTCAAAAACCAATGGGAGGGAGAGGAGCAGAAGGACAGACCCCCAGTGTGTGTGTGTGTGTGTGTGTGTGTGTGTGTGTGTGTGTGTGTGTGTGTGTGTGTGTGTGTGTGTATGAAAATGTGAATTTGAGTGTCTGAAAAGAGTCTATGTAGCACGGCCTTGGTGCATCTGTGTGTGTGTGTGTGTCAGTCCTTCACTGCCGCACTGGAGGTAGATTTTGGTGATAGGCTACATATGTTGCCTAAGAAACAAGATCAAGTGTGCGAGTTAGCCCTCCACTCTAGTTAAAGGTGATGACAGATGGTTCACAACATGGCCCCGGTGGGTCTGAAAGTGTGTGTGTGTGTATTTCAAGATATTCACCAGAGATGGAGTGGGTTTAAGTGTGTGACAGACAGATTGCTAGCATATGTACAGAACACCAGTGTGCAACACAGTGGGGGTGTGTGTTTGTCTGTGTGTACACATGTGGTGAAAGTGTCAGCACCACATTCAACTTTTCTTCACCAACAGGCCCCAAGTCAGTGAGTGGCTTGATCCCGTTTCATGGTGTGTGTGTGTGTATATATATATATATATCAAGTTGCCACTGCAGGCCAGTTTTAAATCATGCAACAGAGAGCGAGCTGGTTGATCAGTAAGTAACCGCATTAAACAACCCTGCTCCTGGGTAACACTGTTACAGCTGAGACACACACACACACAAACGCACACATGCACATGTTGTAGATTTAACCATGAGAACCCTGTCCAAGTGGTGTCGGGCCCAGTGGGGGTTGACTTTTTTTTATGAGGCAGGGATGCGAATGGGGAGACATAGAGATGCATGGAGGGATAAGAGTAAAGAAAAACATGTGCCAGAAAGAGAGCAGAGGCCTGAGGAAAGAGATAAAGCTGGTGTTAGTTGCAAGATGGAAACCAGTCGGACAAAGGAAATGCAGCGCTGAAATATTAAAGTGGAGTCAGGACTCCTTTAAGTTCAACACAGATCTGAGATAAATTTGACATGATGGAACTCATTTATGCTCTGAAATGTTTTGTATCAGACTGGCCTTGAGGCTTTTCGACAGAACAATATTGCTTAAGCAGAGGGTAGACAGGCAACGACATTTCACACTGTGTGCCACTAATCCCTTCTTGTCTTTCTTTTTCCCTCTATACATGCATTTTTCCCCATTTTTTTCTGTTTCTTGTGCATATTTCTCTGCCCCAAAATCTTCTCTCAGAGATTTATTTTACAGACTGAAACATGCCGCTACTCCTCCTATCTAAAGTCAATATGGACCCCAGTACTTTAACTTGCTAGCTGGCTTTCTGCCCAGAGAGGGAGGAAGACAGATGTAATGATGCAAACGAGCAATAAGGACTGGCGGGGGAAAGAGAAGGGAGCAAGTCATCTACTGGAAGTGCTGGCTGGCTGGCTGGCTGGACGGATAAAGGAAGAGAGAGGAGTAATGGAAGACACACTCGGGGCGAATTGGCAAGGACATTGTGCTGAGTAGATGGGATACGGTGGCAGACGGCTGCTATGGGTCACTGTCAGAACGAGTGAGAGTCTCGTTTTTATCAGAAAGAAGAGCTGAAAGAAGGATGGAACAAGGGACTGGTGTCCCTTAGATAATAACAGGATGACAGTGAGGGAAGACCAGCATGAATGAATGAGCATATAATGGACAGAGTTAAGGACAGGTGATTGGACAACTTGGAAGGGGAAAAAATGTCTTTCATATAGGTTAGGATCTGACAAAAAAAGAGACAAGAAGCGAAAATCGTTTGCTCTTCCTCTGTTCTCCATAAATCATTATGACTGTGATTAAAGACAATGGCCCATATAAGTCATATTAACTCTATATGTCCTTTTTGAGCAAGCATGACCTTATCATTGCCCTGTGTAGTGATAGATGTAGCCTATTGATCATAATTTTTCCTGTACAATTAGTGGTGAAGACCCTCTGGGCTCTATGCAGTAGGAGTGGCACAGATGTGTTGATGTGGTAGGGGGCTATGATGGTTGTTTTCCCAGTGGAAATATAAAATGCTTTCCAGGAGCCAGGAACATACTTGTATAACTGCATGTAGAGCCCAAAAAATGTGTGTGCTTGCGCCGTGGATACTGCCAACCCACAGACACACATACATACACAGTCTCCCTCTGTCTCTCTCAATGGCTCTTTTAATGAAAGCCAATTCCTGACAGCGCGCCACATTACTCCTTTAAATGACCTTATAAACCAAGCCAGCCATCTCCTCTCTCTTGCCGTCTCCTTATTTACAATAGCATCCACCGCTGTAACTCAATTCTCCTTTCTCGCTCTCTCTTCTTCCGCTGTCAGCCCTCCACCTCGACCACACGCCGACGCCCTGACATCTCCCTTCTGCTATAAACTTTCCACCTTTCCTCTCCAATCTGTTTTTACAGAGCGCTATCACCTGCCTTTAAACATCAAGCTAACAGGCTTTGCGACGGTCACCACCAAAACCCAGAGGACTTGTAAAGCTTTCAGAGCAGCTTTTCATTGGTTGTTAAATCTAAAGACATTAAAGGCCCCAGCCTTGTTGCGGCTTCTTTAACATTCAAACCCACAAAGGGTCTCTAGTAGAGGAGAAGGGGAGAGGGGACAGCAGCCACGTCTACCAAGAGAGCCTCTTCTCTAGGTTACACTGTCTGGGGGGAAGAAGTCACAGTTTATTTTTAGATACATGTTACTAATTTATAATGCAGAGTTTCAGACAACTACTGTACCACTGAACCTCATGTGGCTCTAGTCATGAAGTAAAGGGGCCTACACAGCAGGAACTTGGTTTTACTGGTAAGCTTCCATGGACCAAAGTACTGTATAGGACAGTAATGAAAGGAAAAACACATGCATAAACAATGAACTTTCCATAGATACAGGTTGGAAAGATGCATGTACTGTATATTCTGTTGCAAGAAGAAATTGGTCTTTAATTTAAACTTGTATTACTCCACTTCAGCCATCCACACATCACTTTGTAATCTTAAAATAGAGTTAGAGTTAGCTAGAGTTACCCGGTTTAAACTAAAAGTTAAATACAAAATACGTTTTCCTCATTAGGGGGGTTTTCTTGTTCCACAAGCAGCCAAATATTCAGGAGTCAACAACAGGAAGGAGGAGGAGGACGAAGAAGATAAAGACAGGCTATCACCAGTCATCTTCCCTCCGCCTGCTCTCTGTAAACTGCCACTAACCACGCATGAATTATTTTAATAACCGCCAATCATCATCTGTCTTGCTGTGGTTTAATATATGCTTGCAGTGAAGAGTCCTGTGCAACTGAACAAAAACACACCAATGCCTGCCTACACGGTCACTATATTCTCCAGGACGACAGAGATATAGAAGTAAAGAGAATGCAACTGGGTGTGTTTGTTACGTGCAACTCCAGCTGCAAAATGGGTTGTAGCTATCATCACTGTGCAGCGACTGCTTTGGCATCAGTGTGCCGTGCCTACGACTTATCAATAATAATGGCAGTTCTACCTGAACCTAGTACCTTTGCATGCGATCCCTTAGGCCTAGTTCAGAAGCATGGCTTTCAACAGGGCACCCATGTAAGTGATCTGGTTCTGGCAGGGAGAGTGGTTATACCAAAGGCAAAGGTTTAGCATGTGTTCATTGACTGGATTGTAAGGGGCTTAGGAGATCAATGGCCAGCTAGGAGCTCAAAGTGTTGGCTGATTGGAGATAAGCAGCAAGGCAAACAAGACTAGCAGGGTTTAGCACTGAAAAGGAAGAAGAGGTGATGAAGAGAGGGGGAGGGCGGCTCCAGGTTGTGTAGTAGAAGAAATGAAAAGGGAGAAACAGCAAGTCACCTTCACTGGGTTCCACCGAAATATCATTTTCTGCCACATTTACTTTGCTGAATTATGTCCAAATACCAAATTGGTGTTACACTGCAGAGATGGTATTGACAGATCTGTTTATTGTGGTCAACTCAAAAATAGTGTTACTGCAGCCCTTGTTTAGTGAATTACAGAAGGGTGTTTATGTGTCACAGTAGAAGAATATAATGTCCCCTGTGATAGCTGTAATCTTTTGTTTCCTGTCTCAGAACTTGCTCCCTGCCCTTCCTGCCTTGTTCTCCATCTTTATCACTCTCATATTGCTTTGTCTGCCTTTCTTCCTTACTGATCAACTCTCCTTCTCTTTCGTCTCTGAAATGTATCTTGTTATCCTCTCTGTCCTGCACTGGGCTCAGTTATTCAGCTGCTCCATTGCTTTCCCTCCTTGGAAATACTGTTTTGATTTCTTCTCCTATACCCAATCCCAGTGAAAATAAGAGGCAGATCAAACAACTTATTTTATGCCATTTATGTGTGCGTATATTGCAAGTTCATGGTCGATGAAAATGATTTAAATTCTCTTCTCCTAGTAAACTGCTATGAGACAACATATATACAGCACAGAATAAGATTTCGGTGGAGCTGCAGGAGTGCATTCTCATTGTAAGCACCTTCAAATTAACACAGAATCTTCAAATAAAATGTTTTTAAAAGAACTCAACTCTAAAAGAAAAAAAATGTATTAAAATGGGCCCAGAAGTCAAACAGCAAAACACAGATAATGTTAGTTCATGATGATATTGGGAG